AATCCCCAAGGATTAAATAAGATGCATTTCTCTTCTGATAAAGGCTATACTAGAGATGGAAGTAGGTTTTCCCACCAAGTTCTCCCCCAGCAACCTGGTGTGGTCAATGGGAAGATGACAGGTGTGGCTACAGTCAGGAGGCAGACCCAGAGCCTGTCTGACTTAGGGAACCAACAAGTACAGCAGGAACAGGAGAAGCCCCCTGCCTCCTTAGCCCTGTGCAGGGTCAGACAACTGGGACCAACACCTGTAAGTGTATCAAGCATAAAAGAATCAAAAGGGATAACTAAAAATGGTAACAAGCTAACCAAATTAATGCCTCATACCCATGCTATGGTACTTAACAAGGATCTATGGAGAAAACGTCTGTGATTTAATATATAATGTTAATGTTCCTTCGAGTGTTTTACAGATGTGAAACCCATTTGAAAGATACCTGAAGAAGCAAAGGCCTGCTATAGACAACTGTTAAGAAAATCTACAGTACCAGGGGTGGGTTGCCCCTCTATGAGCTGTTGGTCAGAGAGAGACCCCTGAGGTCCTCCAATTCACCAAGGCTATTGCCATTAATGTCAGTTGTACACTAGAAAGGTCGGCAAGGCCATGTTTCTGAGGACACTGCATGTTGTGAGTGCAGGAGAAGAAGAAGAGATGGAACTGAGACTAAGCCAAAATACTCCACGCCACTGGATGGATAATATTCATATTGCCAGAAGGCTCTATACAGATGGTTGGGGAAGAAAGGATCCCCTTTAAGTGTACTCAATGATGTACCCATGTGCTGCACACTACGGACATGCCAAGCAATACCTGCAAGCACAACAATGGCTCGACCACATATGTACAACTGACAAATTTCTAATTGGATAAGGCCCGCTCCTACGGGTGGAACACACATCTGGTACTGTAGACCAGGCCAACGCCTTTTGTCAAGAAAGGCTACAGGCCCTAGTGGAGAAGCCATCATGAGTATATTGTTTAATAAATATAGTACACCTATTGGGCTATCTTCTAGGCATCTGTATTTACATTCATGTTTGTTTAAATGTGTCTACTTCCTTCCATTTGTCTTTATAGTAGAAGAAACACCACTGAGATAGATCAATGACCACAGGCTAAAGACGACTAGTGGGGAGGGCCAAGAAGCCACTCTCTCACCATGATACAAGAGAGATCACCCTACATCTATCACCCCCTCCAAGTCGCAGGGACTTTAGCGGAAGATGGATGGAAAGATTGTAAGAGCAGAGGAAAGGGGTGGAATGTCTCCCAATTGGCTGGTTCCTCCAATGGGTGGGGCCTGACACCGAGCAGGAACTTGGAGGGGAAGCTGGGAGCCATCTTGAGATGGAAGCCAAGAGCCGCCAGTAGAGCGCAGTGGTGTAGGAAACTCACAGCCAGCACAGCAACTCAAAGACAGAATGGACTGACTCCCTGTGGACCTGGGGCGAGATCGCTGGCTCCGGAGGCATGAGCAAATGCTAGCAGGGCTATGGGCGTGGCACAGTCTGATAAGGCAGGCTCTGAGTAGCAACGGTGTGGGGCTAGGCACTGGGTACTCATTCCTTTGTAAGTTAATAAACTCACATAAAATATATTATATGGTTTGTCTGATCATGCAGGAGACCCAGAGAGAATTTGGGCCACAGCCTTGAATGTTCAAGATTGTTCAAGATTACAGGTACATGCCACCTACACCGGGGTCATCTTGGCTTCCTTTTGACATGTCTCTTCACTCAGCTAATCATTTTTAGCTTTTGGCTTAATATGACAGAGACCTGTGCCTCTTCATTTAATCTGAATACTTAGACCCACTGTAAGGTCATCCTGTAAAGCAACAATAAAATAGTACAGCAGAGGGCAAGGCACGGTGTGATGAGTTTATTCTTCAATTATACTCATCCACCACTCATAAAAGAATCAAATTTGCTAACAAGGCATTCAGCTCAAAGCTCTCATGAACTTGCCCCAGGCGCATTCTCTCTCAGTCCAGATGCAGCACTGCTCAGTCACCATGCCACTGCTTGCAGTTTTATTCTGTAGGAAAACCCCAACCTTCTTTATTTTCAAACTGTTCTCTATCCTCTGGTTCAAACCACTTCTCTCTTTATTCCAGTCAGATTATTTTAGTCTCTGGTCTTTGGTACATACCCATTCATTCATATATTTATCTATTTGACAATAGATACCGAGTACCTAATATGTACTAGGCACCATTTTAAGGCTGGGTCTAATTCACAAAAAAATCTCTGATGACACTTAACACTAATGCCCATCACATTCTAACTTCTACTAGGTTGTAACCCACTATAATGGGTACTACTAGAAGTTAGTGGTAAGCAATACTTCTATTGACCCAATTATAGTTGGGATGACTCCTGTCCCAAACAGTAACTATTCAATGACCAAACTAATCCAAGTAGCAAATAAAGCGACAAAGTTCATCATCAGCTTAAACATGGCATGTTTATGTGAGGGGCATTTCCTGAGCTGACACCCTCAAACTTGTTTTCTCAGTTTGATTTAGATCTACTTTCTCTGTAACCCAGCATGATGTTTTCACACTCAGGACTGCCGGGAGGGAGGGAGGGAGGGAGGGAGGGAGGGAGAGAGAGTGTGGGTTACAGGAATTGATCTCACACAATTGTAGGAGTGGCTTAAACTGCTTTCTATGTGCTGATGTAGTTTGAAGACCAGAGGACAGTGCAGAAGGAAAGATGGATGTAAAGGGAAGAAGAACATGGATGAGCCAACACCAAAAGTACCTGCTGGAACCCATAACAACTCCTTCCTGTCAGTCTCACTGCCTCCATCTTGGATGAAATGGGTATCTGGTAGGAGAAGTGGTGCCTTTCATCACAGATCTAAAGACACTCTTGGTCTGGTGGTAAGAGAAGCTGAAGGAGGATTAAGTGAACCAGTTGTAGGCCCGAGTACTGTTGAGTTACAAGAAAATGACTTGGTACATAAACAGCAAGACAAGAAGCCTAACGGCACCTGCTTTAACCCCTCTTTCCCCAAATCTCACTCCACATTGTCTTTTGTGGTCACTCTGGAAATAAACAGAGAAGGAAATTCAGGGAGCAGAGTTCATCACCACCAGGCAACAAGTTAAAAAGCCATATAACAAACTCCTATCAATCTTCCATGTGCATATAATTCTGTAAGCCATACTTTGTTTCCTAATGAAAACAAGAAGTCATATTCCTACAGCCTAAAATGGTACAGCTAATCTCTACACAACATACATGCTGACTCCTCCAATATTATTATTTTTTTTTTTTTTTTTTTTGAGACAGAGTCTTGCTTTGTAGCCCTGGCTGGCCTGAAACTTGCTATATAGATCAGGCTGGCCTTGAACTCAGAGATCCAACTGCCTCTGCCTCACGAGTGCTGGGATTAAAGGCATGTACCACCATGCCTGGCCCAACCCTTTTCTTGAAAGTAAAAATAATACAAAGGTCTTTATTTTTGTCCTTGAGCAATGTTCATTCCTCTTCAAACTGGTTCACAGTTCTTAGTTTCTTATAACAAATACAGAGATAGAAAATTAACTATTGTTAGCATGTCTTGATAGTAGGGGAGTGAGACAGGTAAAAATTAAAATGTTTAGTTTATAGACAAGCATATTCATGTGGAAGGATGGGAGTATATGTCTGCATATGTCCTAACTGCTGCCAGGCTCAATCTGTAACTGGCATGTGGCTGCAGCTGTTCTCATAGCCACCTTCTTCCATCCGTATTGCTTTTGCTTTTAAACTCCCCTCTGCTGTTTAAAGTTCCTCATCTGGTAGAACGGCCCAGACTTTCATTGCTAAAGAACCTGGATCATTATTAGCACTGCTGACAAATTAGGCTGTTATCGTTTTATGCTGATTTTATGCACAGAAACTAGTGTATTGCAGTCCAGGTGTTCTTCCTGACCCACATTGTACAGCAGCGACCCAATTTTCCTTAACAGTCATGCTCCACCTATCAATAGTTCTACTTGTTCCTGTACTTACAGAGCAGTCAGAGGAAGGCATCTCAACTGCCAGCTCAATGGAATTTACTGCTCCCAGGGGGAAGCATTTCTCTCAGGTGCTAAGGACCCTAAGGCCAGCAGAGCCCAAAGCTTCAGGGAAGAGGCAAAATCTTGCTAATGGGTCACTAGGTGCAATACTGGGTGGAGCCATTCCCATGACCCTCCTAGGTTTCTGGATATAGGAATGTTGGCTACAGGAGAAATAGCACCTTAAATCCAAAACTGACTTAGAGTACATACTGTATCCTGGAAGACACTGCCTCAGCCTGACAAGGCACTGCCAGCTAGCTGGCACTGTGACTGCATTTTCAAAAGGCCCTCCTCCATTTTCTCAGAACAGTAGCTTAATGAATGGCATGAGTATGCGCACAGTGTTCTTCAATTTCTGTATAGCGAATTTCTTTGTCGTTGTACTGTGTGGAATACCAAGATGATGGATAAGGAATTCTGTAAGTTCATGGATAGCAGTTTTAGCAGAAACATAGTGAGTTAAGGAGGCAAATCCAGGTCCAGGGTACATATCACTTCTAGTAAGAACAAAACACTGTCATTTCCATGAAGGAAATAACCTATAGTAAACAACGTGCCACCAGGTGGAGGCTGGATCGCTTGGAAAACAGTGACATGAGAAGGTTTAGTACTATGTTCAGACCCACCTTGATGGGTCAATTTTGTGGTCTGTATTGCTGAACTAATGCACAATCTCCATTTCTGGAACCCTTGTGTTCATGAATATATACTTGGTTGTGGTTCTGCCTGTCCAGTTGAACTTGGGCTGATGAATTAAGTGCTGAGAGTGGTTCAGAGGAGTAGAATCTTAACACAGGGATCTATGAATTGGTCCTGCGTTATCTGGAGTTGGCACTCTTATCTTGCTTGTATGGCATCAGTAACATTCTATTTCTCTACACAAATCATTGGAAGTATTACATACAATTGGATGACACATAAGTGAAAGCATTTGGGTTATACTCACTAAAGAATGAATCAACATATTAAGACAACTTTTCTGAATCTCAGGAGGTACATTTGCAAAGCTTCTTTCGGACCAAAACCTTGCAAAATGGCTTACAATCCAGCTGTTGAAATACAAGAATTCAAGTTAGATTAATGAAAAAATTCCATTTTAAGACTCAATTTTTTCTCAATTATATGAACTACACATGTAGTTCAACCCTTGCTGCTAATTTTATGAGCTCTAAGATGAAATTAACTCTATTGCCCTTTCTAGAAACACATGTTATAAAGCCATGTTGGGTTATATGCATATTTCTATATAACCATAATTTATCTTCAAATGAAACTGATCCCACACATCTTGAGTAAAATCTAAACCCACAATTCTACTCAACTGTGTAACTAGTTAAGCACTGAAGCAACTTGCATTGTGTCAAAGAATACAGACCAAGTCTAAAACTGCCCACAATATTTGGAGAATAAGAGGACTATATATATATATCATACACACACACAACATGTAATAATAGCAGTGCAACACAAGATAACTTACTTCATGCAGTCAGCAAAAAGACTTTCCACTCCAACAGAATGAGCAATAATTAGGCATTCTAGTATAGATGCCAATGTTCTGGGAACAGGCTAAGATTGATAGAAAAATCACATTCAGTCTTTTTAATTTACAAAGCCTTAAAGTTATTTGCTTCATAAAGCAAATCTGATACACTTGAGCTATAGAATACACAATTCAAAATTTGATGAATTTGAAAATTCACTTTCCAGAGATCATTATGTTATGTGAAATAATCCAGACTCAGAAAGAGAAATTACACATGCTTTCTCTCATATGCAGAATAAAATTATATGTACATGTGTGCATGCATATGTGTGTGCAAGACATGGAAGTAAAGAGACTTATGAAAGGGGAAGAAGAGGTCTAAGGGAGGGGGCAGCACGGTATAAGAGACCATAATAGATAGAACAGGTATGTCATAAAAGCTGAAGGGAAAACTATGTGGGGGAAGAAAAGGACCAGCAAGAAGAGAGAGGGGTCAGGGTAAAATAGGCAAAAAAAATAAAAAAAAAAAAAAAAATCAAGAGAAATCTTTGATAAAAACCCACCTCTTGCACTTAATTCTCAATGTGGCTAACAGCACCAGAACTCTGCTTGCAGTCATGTTCTAGTCAACATCTAAAACTATCTTTCTTAAAAACACCTTTTCACACAGAAACTAATACACAGATGTTTAGGGAGGCTTTTTTTCATATTTGCTAAAACTTGAAAGCAACCAAGATGGCCTTCACTAGGGGACTAGATAAGTGAACTGAAGCATCTCCATGAAGTCAACCGTTTAGCATTGAAAAATGAGCTGTCAAGCCACAAAAAGACAAAGGAAACCTGAATACATGTAACGGAGTATTAATAATAACTAATCTGAGAAGGCCCGGGCATTGCATGATTCAACTACCTAACAATCTGGAAGAACAATGAAAAGGAAAGCAGTTGCCAGGGGAGGGGAGAAAAAAATTTTCAGGATACTGAAAACACTCTGTATTATATTATAATAGTAGATATCATACATTTATTCAAACTCCTGTACTGTTAAACACCAAGAGTGACCCCTGATGTAAACTATAGACTGATACTGTTGGTCAATGGAGGTTCATTAGCTCAAATATTCTGCTCTGGTGATGTTGATGATGGAGGAGACTATGCATGTGGAGGCAGGATGCATGAGCTATCTGTACTTACTTCCCTATCAGTTTTGCTGTGTTCCTAAAGTTGCTCAAATATCTTTAAAAACACTCTGTTGATCTTTTATTTATTTATTGTTTATTTTATGTGTATGCATGTATTGCCTGCATGTGTGTAAGTGCATCCATGTTGTGCAATGCCCGTGGAGGTCAGAAGAGGCCGCTGGATCCCCTGGAACTGGAGTTATGGACAGTTGTTAACTGCCATGTGGGTGCTGGGATTCGAACCCTGGTCTTCTGCAAGAACAGTCAGTGTTCTTAACCCCTGAGCCAACTCTCCAGCCCTGTCTCTTAAATTTTATGGGGCTGAAGAGATGGCTCAGCAGTTAAGAGCACTGGCTGCTCTTGCAGAGGACCTGGGTTTGGTTCCCAGCACCCATATGACAGCTAACAAGTGTCTGCAACTCCAGTTTCAGGGCATCCAATACCTTCTTCTGACCTCTGCAGGCATTGCATAGCAACACTCTTTTGAAAGTGTTACATTAGTATTTAATAACTGAATGCAGAACGTGGATATAATTCAGTTGATAGAGTGCTAGCCTAAAATGCATGAAGCCTTAGGTTCAAACCCTAGCACCACATAAAAAAGTACTACATAAACCGGGCATGTTGGTGCATGTTTGTAACTCCAGCACTTGACAGGTGAAGGCTGGAGGATCAGAAGATCAAGGTCATTCTCAGCTACATAGTGAGTTGGAGTTAAGCCTTTGAGACCTTGTCTCAAAAAAAAAATAATTAAATATAAACATTTTGCTTTTCATATTAACAATTTTATTTAAACAATTAAGATCTCTTTATGATAACTAAAGGGATTCCCTTGTTTTTCCTAAAGTCAGAAATTATTATTATGTAGATTATACAATGACAATTATATGAAATTAAATAATTTGGCTTTCTGACCCATTTCCTACAGGAGTATCAAATTAGTATGAGAGAAGGCGCTATTTGTACAGACAGACCTGACAGCCTAAAACACTCAGGATCTGAAAAACTGTGCAGAAGAGTTAGAAAGTCCAACAGTCCAAATTGATTTAGGAACAATCAGACTTCAAAATCTACCAATTTGATGGATGGCAGGAATATTTTCGATAGAAATTGTTAAAATAAAAAAATAATTTGCTTATTAGAGGCTGGCAAACTAAAAGTGTGTGCCCAATCTAGCCTGTTACTGTTTTTGTGAATAAAGTTTTATTGGAACCCTACTGTGTTACTTCATTTTTACACTGCTGATTGCTGCCTTTGATCTACAACAGCAAAGTAATTGTAATAGAGACAATATGACCCACACCACTGTGGGAAGTGCTGCCCTCAGACCCTATCACAAAGAGAGAAATGATCTGTCCAACATAAAATAAATAAAACTTTGAGGATTACTGAAAGTGTAACACAAGAAGCTGCATTTAGCCTATAAACTTGTGAACATATTAAAAATAGAGACAAAGATTATTCATAAAAGAGATTTTTCTAACATAAGACAGATGTAATTGTCTTCTTGAGGAGCTCAGTTCAGAACAGATACTAACAAAAAACTTTTTTTTGCAACTGGTACATTTAACCACATCTGTCAAATCTTCCCTTTTCTATCCCTTGACGCCATTTATAAGCATATCTTTAATGTTCTGGTTTTGTCATTTACAATTCAGTAGAGTACTGTTCTAATTTAACTTATTTAATTTATCCCACCCATGCCTTTCCTCCCATCACTGACTAAAATTGTGGCTGGGGAGATGGTCTGGCCTTTTGTTCCTCCATTTTCAAGTCTAACTCCTATGGAAGTGGTCCTTTTGTAATCCAGCAGAGCCTAAAATGGTAGGGAGCTGTCCTTGTCTTTGCTCTAACTCAGGGAAAAAAAAACTGATTTAAGTGTTATTAAAATTGCCAAATTAAAATCAGACAATGGGTAATAATGCCTCAAGTACCAATAAAAGGGAAATATAAATAATTCCTTTAAGATTTGTTTTGTTGATTGTTAAATACATCACTGTATTATAAAATGGATTTGGGGATGACTAAAGTATATAATCTGGAGAAGGCTAGGAATAGAAGGCTTGGTCCATGCTGGGTAAAGGCTTTCCAGTGTGCATACCCTTAGGTCACTCATACACCTCAGCAACCCCTCAGTCATCTCTGTAAGTAAACTCTGTAAATTCATTGGTTCCCCATGAAAACTTTAATCAAACATTGGTTTGACACTAGAACCTCAGAAGGGGATAAATATTGCTTAGTATCCCCAAGAAAAGAATTCTCACAATAGATGGAAAATTTATTTGTTAATGTTATTATGTCTCATAATTATTAAAAAATAAAATGAGAATGTAAAAGATGTTAAAAGGGTATGGGAGCTGGGCGTGGTGGCACACGCCTTTAATCCCAGCACTTGGGAGGCAGAGGCAAGTGGATCTCTGTGAGTTCAAGGCCAGCCTGGTCTATACAGTGAGTTCCTGGACAACTGAGACTACAGGGAGACCCTGTCTCAAAAAGACCTAAATAAATAAATAAATAAATAAATAAATAAAATAAAAAATAAAAGGATATGGGAATGCAGATATTTTCCAAAATAGAAAAAATGAGACAACCTAAGCAAGCGATGAAGGTCTGTGTAGGTTTGTTATGATATATAAAGGATGAGACAAAAGAAATATACACATAATATTAAAATGTCTAAGGTAATAGCTTAGTCAACTAGTTTAAGGAACAAAATTTATGTCTAGTCAAGGTTTATGTGAGAACATTTGGGTTTTGTCCAAGCTTTAGCAACATAGCACATGGTAATTAAAAGTACCAGACTGCTGGAACTAACTTTCTTGGATGTTTAACAGCCACAGTTTGAGGCCTATACTAATCTAGTCAGAGGGACTTAAAGGAGAGTTTTTGCTCCTTGTCCTCCAAGGTCAACTAAGTTCCAGGGGACTATGGAACATCTCTTGAAATGTCCTATAACTGTGCTGAGTCACCTGTCCTCTTGTTCAGGGAGGACATGGAGACCCCACAAGATGAACTTGAACTAGTGTCCAGTCTACAAAGAGGAGGGTCAATATGGAGGAAACATTTCCTCCATGCTTCCAAGTGAAGCCAGCCACAGTCAAGCAGGACCTTTGACTTATGGTCATATAGATGGAACTGGTAAGAAAGAAGCCAGGGTCTCCTCCTAAGCCCATGTGATCCCTGAGGAACAGATCCTCAAACCACCTTAAAAGTAAAATTAAATTGGTTTATTTGGGCCAACTCTATGCTCTTAAACATCCAAAAGGAAAAGTATAACCAAAAATTAAAGTGATCAGTATATTTCTTTAAGAGTTCAAAGGATTATACTTCTCAGACATTAGACTTAAGTCCATATAAAATGTTATTTAGACAATTATTTCTCATTGATGATTTTATTTCTAATAAGAAAGTGCTGCTCAGATGTAAGTCTTCAAGTTTTGGTCTGCAATACTGTAGTGCTCACCTGTAGCTAAGGGAGACAACCCATTATTGTTCTAAAACGATAGCTGAATTTGTTTTCTCCCCCTATCTAGAAGCCTTTGAGAGGGAACTGATACTGATTCTAGCCACTCCAACAGCTATCAAAGTGCCTGAAAACAAATCCTGAGTTCATCACTCTAGAGTCCAGCCTTGGCAGACAAAAGAAAAGTCAGGAAGAACCCAATAGAGGGATGCTTTTGGAAGTTCTCGTCAAGAAATTCCAATGGACTCTCATATAAGCATTTGAAATTTGCCCTGTTCTGACTTTTTTTCTGGTTCCTTGTCTAGAACTTATAATGCTAACTACTCTTGCCTTTACTTCTCCTTCACATCTCCTAGGCACCAGTCAAGGACTTTCTTTTCTCCCTACAGTTAAGAGTTATTTTGGAGTCTTTTAGATAGACCCACTGAAGGTGTACCCCAATTGCCTCACCCTGCATCCCTGTTCAGCATAGAAGAAGCCAGAGTGGTCTGTGTCCTGATTCCCTATCAGTAGTTTGGGTAACCTCTTCAGAGGATGGTGTGATAAGAATCAGAGGTAGGAATTGACTAGGCAGTTAGGGAAAAAAGACCCCAAAGAAAAGAAGCCAGTTTCTTGGCTAAAAGTCAAAATGTCCTTGGGCCTCTTAGCAACATACTCTGTTCCAAAGGTGAAAAATGTCAAAAGTATTTGAGAGCTCTTATCTAATCCCTAAAAGAATTTAGGGTTACCTCTTCAGAGGGGGGGAATGTTAGAGTAGCAAAAAGCCCCACAAGTTTAACTGGTCAAGACTATAAAATCCCTAGTCCATCTGTTGGAGGACCCATCTTTCGAATCTCACTGGTCAATCATCTGGTGACAGAACCACTCCTAGGAAGGCAGGTTCACTTTAAATTATGCTAAATAGATGGGTGGAATACCTGGTGCGTTAATGAGGTAGTGAATTTTTCCTGCCTGGAAGCCTGCCTTATAACACAGAACTCCACAGAACTTCTGACCAGCCACAATCATGTAGGTCTCTGTAAGTGTGTCCACTTTCTGCCATTTGGGTCCTTTCTTCAGTTCTTTTATGAATGAGACTAAGAACCCTCTAGGGGACCCTCTTTCCCCCTGTTTCAGTACAGGCCAAAACTATGGACACATGGTGTCTTACTTTAATTAAGAGCCAAAATGACCTATAGTAATAGTATGTGAAGGTGTTTTGCAGACGATGATAGATTGGCACCATCCTTTGAAATATTCTGGAAAAATAATTCATTTTGTACCCTTTGTATGTTCAGAATGTAGATGTAGCATTATCAGAAACCCTCAAAAAATAAAAAAAAGAAAAGCATAAATACCTAAATTAATTTATATTCACAAAGTACATCAAAGAAATGATGAATCTGAGAATCATGTAGAAAATGGGTTTGAAATGCATTGTATAGGATCTTTAGACAGTAAATTGACTTTTTCATAAAGTAAAATGTGTGTGCATACTCTGTCAGAAGAGGCTTATGTTCCATCCCAGGTATATGCTCCAGAGGGGTGGTAGGGGGAAGGAATGTATTTTGAAGGAAAAGAACCAATGAATCATTTGTGTAGCTCTTTGACAGAGGGAATCATAAATTTTCTGTTCTCTTAGTGTCAAACTCAAAATGAGTCCTAGCTGTTGTATATTCTATATTAGAATTATATAAAATTCCTTATATCCTTTCAATAAATGCCAACATCCATTTTATTTTACTTAAAATTATTTCAATAAATTTCTGATTTTTACAATATACCATTTGTTACTTTTCAACTAGAGCTCTTGCTACTTAAATTAAATCAATATTTTAAACCATGATTATTATCAGTGAAAAATCTAGGACATAATAATTGGTGACTTAATATATTGGGTAAAGATTTGGCAGACTTAACAATTACCTTCTGAAAGAAATTACAGTAATCTCTTCTTAAAATATAGATTGCTACTTCTTTTAATCCTTCTAGTCCATACATATCAGCCATATTGAGTATCTGACTGAAATAAAAATAGATGTTAACTGTTAATTTTCAAATTTAAAATTAAGTGTAATACACAATAATTTCTTGATAATATAGTATGTTTAGAAAAAAGAATCTGAATTATAATTCTAATATTTTTGCTTTACAAAATAGTTCTTAGGGATCATAAAAAGTATATAAGCCAAAAGTTGAAAGCATGGGCTGGAGAGATGGCTCAGCGGTTAAGAACACTGACTGTTCTTGCAGAGACCTGGGTTCGAATCCCAGCACCCACATGGCAGTTAACTGTTTGTAACTCCAGTTCCAGGGGGTCCGACACCCTCTTCTGTCCTCTGTGGGCACTGCATGACATGGGTGTACTTACATACATGCAGGCAATACACACATACACATAAAAATGAATAAACTATTTTTAAAAAGTTGAAAGCACTCACATACAATTTGCTTTGAGACAAAGAGGGAGGAGTAAATTTGGAGATGTTTCAAATTTCCTTCATATTTCCAGGGCATATAGAACAGGAAAGTGCTATGAAGGCTATAAATTTTACAAAGATATTTGCAACAATTTTGTACAATAAAAGTTGGATGTAGGCTGGAGAGATGGCTTAGAGGTTAAGAGCATTGGATGCTTTTCCAAAGGACCCCAGGTTTGGTTCCTAGCACCCACATGGCAGCTAACAACTATTTTGAACTTTAGTTCCAGGGGATCTGACACCCTTTTCTGACCTCTGAGGGCACTGCATGCACATGGTGCACTTATACTCAGGCAAAATACTCATACACATAAAAACAAAATTAAAATAAAAAGTTTAATGCTTAGCAGACTGAAAATGCCTATAAAAGACTCTAAGATTAGAGAGCATCCAATGATCATAAAGTTCCTTTTATGTGGCAATTCTGAGCATCTACACCTACACTAGGTATTTAGGAAATCTATAAGCCTCGAGAACACGATAATTTTCACGTAAGTTGCCAAGAGATAAAACATTAGTACTCAGTTTCTATGACACATATGTTATCCCCCACAACATGCTTAGTCAGCTGAAATTAAAGGAACCCTAATGAACTTTTTAAATTAAAAGAGCACCTCTCACTTCTCCAATACCAGGAGCTGGAGATGAAAAGAGCAAGGTGGAACCTCATTCCTGGAGAGTATTTAGAAGTTCAGGTGTTAGTTCTCTAAACAACATGTAAGACCTCACATAACCACTGGTCTTTAGGATGCCATATATTCTTGAGTAAGCTTTAAAATTCTTTAAATTTTTTTTCTTTCTTTGGCTGTTTAAAAAGGACATTTTAAGGGGGCTGGGGAGATGGCTCAGCGGTTAAGAACACTGAATGTTCTTGCAGAAGACCTGGGTTCGAATCCCAGCACCCACATGGCAGCTAACAACTGTCTGCAACTCCAGTTCCAGGGGATCCGACAGCCTCTTTAGTCCTCGTGGGCATTACACGACATGCGTGCACTTACCTACATGCAGGCAATATATGCATACACATAAAAAATAAAAATAATAAATAAAATATTTTTTAAAAAGGCATGTTAAGCTAGACACGGTGGCTCATGTCTGTAATCCCAGCACTTGGAAGGCTGAGGCAGGAGGATCTTTGAATTCCAGGCCAGCCAGGGCAACACAACAAGATGCTGTCTCAAAAAAAAAAAAATCTAAAAATAAATTCATAAAATAATATTCAGGGTTTTATAATAGACTGATGAAATATCTTTAAAACCTGGCATTTACTTTCCAAACAAAAATAAGTTTCTTCTAACATGACTGAAGAAGTCTAACAGGGACTTTTTATACTCTTATTACTATGAGTTATTAAGTTAGCTTCTCTTCTAAATAAGGTGATTTGCTTATTGTTTTTAGAAATCCCCCAAGCAGACTCAAAATACTATAAAATAGACAATAAAAATGAAACTTCTACTTCACAGACACTTTGCAACATTTTTCAACAAAGTGGAACTCATAAATATTAGCTTATAGTTAAACTTATATAAAGTAATACATACCCAACATTAGCTTTGTCTGGAAAATCCAAAGTCCCTCCATATATAAAATGCATCATAACATTCATTTCTACATGGTTTATACTGCAAGAATAAAACAAAAACTCTCAAATCCAGAAATAGTTATGGTTTAATTAATATGAGTGATGCATTCTATTTTCTCATAAACTTAGAATTCTAACTGCCATTCTTCAAATAACATCCATATGGGCATATAGATCATTTAAAAGCAGCAGCTGCGGATGTTACAAAATGTTGTATTTTCAAGTCACTGATTTTGTTTTGGTATCTTCTTCCACAAACTTCCAGAATTGGAACAGACTTTAGAGGTTGCTGCTTAACCACTAGATAATAACCCATCTTATTCAGTCCTTTCTTCCACTGGAAATGTAGCTCAGTGAGTGCTTGCCTAGAACACGAAAAGCCCTGGATTCCATCTCCAGCAACTACACACGCACACGTACTTGTTCTCAGCATCTTTTATAAAAAGTCTCTGGTCTTGCTTAAAAATGAATAGCTTTATTCACTAGAAAGAGTCTTGCTATGCATAGAGATTTCTTAATTACAGCCTATTAGTGGCTTTAGCTTGGTCAACATCCTGAGTTATACAGGTGAAAGAATAAAGTTGTGGCTTAAGAAATCACATTTGGAGTGACTGTGACTGACTTACTAACTCTGAATTGATGACCTCGGCTATGGTTTGAGCATGGTTTATTCCCTTTAAGATTCATGTTAAAATTTGTTCCCCACTACAGGACATTAAAAGACACAGCCAAGTGTTTGGGGCTGTGTCCTCATGAACATTAATGGGGTTATCCTGAGAGTGAGTCTATTGTAAAAAACAGTTTGACTAGGTCTCTGGAGTGCCCCTGTCTCTTGCAATGTGATATGCTATGCCACTTTGGGATTCAGCTAGCAGTGAAGCAATCAGATGTGGATCATCAATCCTGGACCAGAACCATGAGCCAAAAATAATGTCTCCCCCCATTTCTTCCCTCCATCCCTCCCTTCCTCATTCTCTCCCTCCCTCCATCCCTCTGTCCCTCCCCATCCTGAATTTTCTTTCCTTTGTTCTCCTTCCTTTCTTTTTCTTTTCCCTTACTCTCCCCTTCCCTTCTCTCCTCTTGCCTTCCCCTCTCCCTTCCCACCTTTCATTCATTTTGGAGAATCTTACTATGCAGCCCACACTAGCCTCAAACTGGTGATCCTCCTGCTACAGACTCGAGATGACCTTCTTTTCCCTCTCTCCCTGAACTCTTTCTATTACTTCTGTCTTGTTGATAGCACCTCTTTTAAACCTTTCAGAAACATCCAGAAGCTCAGGAAAGTTAAACACTATTCCTAATCAGGCAAAAAGCTGTTCTTGGATACAGGACAGAGAGTACATGATCTTGCTATTACTTCACGCTGCCCATAGAAACACCTACCCGAGCTTAAAATATGTTAACAGGAAAATGGAATTTACTTGGTAGATTACTTTATTGCAAAATAAAAAAATTTTAAGGTGATTTTTCTTTGAAAAGTAAAATTTCTCAATATCCTTTAGTCTTCTGAGAACTTTAAATGCCCCAATACTAAAATTTGAGGTGACAATTTGAGACAAATGGTTTGATATGTGCTATAACAAAGGCAGTGAAAGCATCAGAACACTGAGTGATAATAATGATAAAGGATTGTAGATAAACCATGTATCTATCGGGAGGCTCTTTCATTCTAGTTTCAGAAAACATTACTTTCGATGTTTACGATAAAGCAGCTGAGCCAAAAAAATGTATTCTCAGTGAAATTAGGAGTGAGCATCCATTACTAATATAACAGCTTTGGGAAGACAAACCAGTAAATACCAGAGCCTTCCTCACTACAAAAGAAAAAAAGGACAAAGAGAAAATGACTATTAAGAAGTACAAGGGTTCCCAGCAATCAGGAGGCAAAGGCAGGTGGATTTCTTTGAGTTCAAGGCCAGCCTGGTCTGCATAGTGAGTTCTAGGCCAGCTGGGGCTACACCACCCTGTCTCAAAAAAAAAAAAAAAAAAAGTACAAGGTGAGCTGGAGAGATGGCTCAGTGATTATGAGCATTTGCTGCCCTTGCAGAGGACCTAAGTTCAGTTCACAGCACCCACCACCTTCTCTAACTCCAGTTCTGAAGGGGGGATTCAATGCCCTCTTCTGGTCTCCACAGGCACCAGGCATACATGATGCACTTACATAAATGTAGGCACTCACATATACACATAAGAAAATAAAGTACAAGGTTGGTCATGGCTGAAACTAACACAATGTTCAGCCCACTGTTTTGGATGACACTTTGAAACATATTTGGCTACTTCTATCTGACTATCGAAAAAGCTACAAAAATAAATCAGTAGTAGTCAAACCATAATGTAAGAGAAAATATCTGTTACTTCCATCATAAATTAAGGATAGAAAATTACGGGTGTAAACATAGGCTAATAAAATAAAACTCCCTCTTGAAGCTGTTGACCAGGGGCCCCATAGGCCCTCAAATACTACTGCCCATTGCCCATGCTCTTGGTTACATGCCAGATCTCCATGGTAGGAGCCTATTGCTGAAGACACTACATATATGAGCTGTAGAACAAGGAGAAATCAAGCTGGTGCTGATTCAGAGCCTCATCTCTACTGGTTAGCTTTCAGAGTGCTGGAAGGTGCTATGTAAGCTAGCTGGAAGGAAAAAAATAATCATCAACCTTGCTCAGCTATAAATCCTGTGAACTTTAACTAGACTGGCAAGATATGCCCACCAGTGCAACAGTGGCACAAATATTATGGAAGCAACCAACCACTCAAAAAAAATCTATAGCTATAGCTATATACATATAATAGAGAGCATTAGACGGAGGACAGTAAGGAGAGGTGTGGATAGGGTGGGGGATCCAAATGCCATCAAATTATAAAAAAATCTCAAAAATTCAATTAAAAGATTTTTTTTCAAAAAAGAAAGAAAATTATAGGTATGAAGAGTGGATAACCAGTAGTTGATGTCATTGTTTCTTTCTTGTCTACTGACTTATTAATAAATAGATCTCAATTTTAAAAGCCTGGGTATGTGAATATTTCATCTTATCAATTCATGAGGGCTTTAATTAAGAAAGACTGAAAATAACTAAATAAAAAGATTTCCTTGTCTTTATTCCTATAGCAGTTGAAGGAACATGGAGTTTGAAATGGCCTTCCCCTCAGAGTCCAGTCTCACACATAGGTTCCCTAATGTGCCTTCCAGGAATTTTAGAGTTCTATGGGACAAAGTTTGAAAGCGACTGATTTAAATAGTAAAAAAGAATATTCTGAACTAGCTAGAATACAAGCTGAAGGGATTTCAATTTTTCAGTGATTGCTGTGGAATGAATACTAAATTAAGAATCAATATACATGTTATTGATATTCAGTTTAATCACTTATGTGGGAAGGCATTTAGTTTCTTGGATCTTGTTTTTACTCATTTGTAATGGGTGGATTTACCTTCTCTATCTCAAAGACTAACTCCAAACACTACAGGGCATAGTAAATGTGGAAGAAGCATGGAAATGGAAGGCATTATGGCTGAGGACAGAATCGACTCAGAGGAAGGAAAAGAAATGCATAGTGTATACCGGTAGTTAAAATTGCCATTAACCTACAAGAAACTTGTAATTTCTTCCAGGAAAAAAAATTAGAAGTGTGAATTTCCTACTTTTGCTGAGAAATTCTATAATCAATATACTTCTTCTGGTCTTGGTCAACAGAAAATCAAGTCATTTTAAATGAATGCCAAAAAGTTGAACTCTAGGGCTGGCAAACTGGTTGAGTACAGGAAGTGATTGCTGTGTGAGCCTGCTGACCGGCTTCGATCACTGAAACTCACAGCAGAAAGAGAGAGGAGACTCCTGAAAGTTGTCCTCTGACCTCCATACACATGCTTTGGCACACACACAAACACACACACACATGCACTCATAAATGTAAAAAAAGGCCCCAAATAGTTTTTAAAAGTTAGATTCTGAATTAAACCAGTGTTATTCCTTACTTTGAATATTTACTGAATTCAGCTTCTAATAAAAGTGGATTGACAGTTTTAAACATAGATGCCTAAAATATATGAAACCAGTTTCCAAGATTAATACAAAAGTGTTTATCCTTAGGACTGTCACACTAGAGACCTGGCTTCTGCTAGCATGAACCTTCCTAAGTTCAGTGGATATTTTTAATTCATCACAAAGGAAGAGATCTCATCAGTATGACAGACAGATCTTTCAAGTTGGTTTTCAACAGTGATGATAAAATCTCACCAACAGATTCATCTATACATTCCTCAAACCCACAGGATGGTAAACTTTTAAGTCTGGCATTTAAAATATCCCATAATTGGAAAGTACCAGCTATGGAATGAATGTGTCCTCTCCAAATTCGAATGGTGAAGCCCCAATCCTTAGCATGCAGGGATGGAGCATCTAAGGAAGTAGATCATATTATTTATTTATTTTTAATATTTTATTTATTTGTATGTGCATGCGTGTGTGTGTGTGTGTGTGTGTGTGTGTGTGTGTATGAGTGTATTGTCTGCATGTAAGTGCATCCATGTCATGCAATGCCCACAGAGGTCAAAAGAGGGCATCAGAGTCCCCTGGAATTGGAGTTACAAATGGTTGTTAGTCACCATGTGGGTTCTGGGAATCAAACTTGGCTCTCTGCACTGCAAGAGCAGCCAGTGCTCTTAACCGCTGAGCCATCTCTCCAGTCCCCAGGAAGAAGGCAATTTTAAATGAATCCAGAAGGATGGCACATAGGCTGGCTAGGATTAGAGTTCTTAGAGACATCATAGAAACCCCTCTCAGACAACACATACAGCAAATGCCACACGAGCACACAGTGAACAGGCAGCTGCCCACAAAACTCAAGGGAAAGTCCTTTTCAGACATCAACCTTGCTGGCATCTTGACCTTGAACTTTCAGTCCCAGAACCATGAGAAAATAGGTCTCTATGTTTAAGTCAATCACCTGGTATTCTGCTTACAGTGCTTGAGCAGACTTAACACGCACTCTTTATTACCAAACGGTCCCAGCTACCTATGCTCCAGGGAATATGCTTTGTTGAATTCTACTACACAAGAAATACTTTACTGAACATGTAGAAAAAGTGCTATGTATGAACTTTATTTGCAATAATTTATAGTCAAGCTACCTTGTAAAAAATTATGCTTACCCCTGAAGAGTAATACACTCTTGGGAGCTTTCAGCCCAACAGCCACTCAGCATTGCAGCAAAATAACTGGATCTGGCACTTAAAATGGCCCTAAAGGGAAAGAGGGGAAACACAGGTAAGCAGTTATATACTATGCAAAATGCAGTTTTATGAAGGTTTTCATCTCCACCTCTTTAGGCATACCCTATTTTCCTTATTTGTATTCATTGGTAGGATTCCTATAACAACAATTATAAACATATTTATGCCTAAGCATTTTGTTTAAAATGTTATCTCTAAAGCCAGGCTCAACAGCACACATTTGTAGTTTCTGCACTTGGAGGGGTGAGGCTGGAGGATTACGAGTTCAAAGTCAACATAAGCTACATTATGAGACTCTGTCTCAAAGACAAAGAACAGAACAAAACCAAAGAGTTAACTAAAACATTAATCAGTGTATTTATTAACATTTTTCCTCTTAAATGCTCTTTATATATATATTTAAATATTTTATTTATTGTTTTTATGTATATGCGTGTATTGCCTGTGTGTGGGTAAGTGCACCTGTATTGTGCAATGCCCACGGAGGACAGAAGCGGCTGTCAGATCCCCTGGATCTGGAGTTATGGACAGTTGTTAGCTGCCATGTGGGTGCTGGGATTCGAACCTGGGTCTTCTGCAAGAACAACCAGTGTTCTTAACCACTGAGTCATCTCTCCAGCCCCTTGCTCTTTATATTTTTAAGAATAAGATAATAATGAGTCATTTGCAAGTGAAGAAATAAAGACCAATGATGTACTTGACATCGGTAAGAGATGGAAATTATTGTCAATTAAAATTTCTTAAAAAGAGACTTCCATAATAAAAATTCTGATTTCTAGTCCAGAATTCATCCTAATTAGTTCAGCAGACTATATTTTAGCTTTGAGGAAATGAAAGGAGAGATATTTTCTTCTGAATTGTCATGAACTCTTCTCAAATACAATGTCAATTCTTTAATCCAAAATGTCCACTGACTTCTATTCTGTGCTAGGTTTTATGATGGGTGCTGTGAATATAGTGGTAAAGAGACATACAAAACATTGCATATTCTGGTGCAGGATGGGGGCAAGGAATGGAGAAGAGGGAAAGGGAAAGTCACTTCTGTCAACGGCTTATTTATACACACATCAATGTATATACACATACATTTGTACATACACTAGAAGGAATAAGCATGAGCTAAGGACATCAGAATACTACCATGGTTGTTAGACAAACTTAAAGACAAACAAGGAGAAATTCCCCACCGAGATGATTGCCAAAGTAAAAGTAATGATCAGAGGAGGCTGAGAAGCTGAGAACAGTTCCCAACAACCTTCACAGGCTTAATGGAACTTGAATTAGAACCTGGGAAGGTTGAAGAGGAGTTGGTGCAGGATCTGAGTTGGACCCCGAAGAGTCATGCTCTAGGAGGAAGAGTGGTCAGGAAATAGCTAAGTCCTTGCAATGTCAGTTTTGAATGAGCAATCCCTGAGTAGAACCAAAGGGATTAAGTGTACCTGCCATCCAAAAGCAAAAGGAAGTCCCGTCTACACTAAAATGACATCATCCAGTCATCTTAAGGGTCATGCAAGAAGTTTTCAGTAAAATGACCAGAAATTATTTAGCACAATAATGAACAGCCAAAAAGAAAAGAAAAAAATTGTCTTTTACACTAGTACCAAAAAGGTAAAAAACATAAGAACAAATGTAGCAAAAAATGTGTAAAAGTTCTACACCAAAACTTACATAAAATGTTACTGAGTCAAATTTACAAAGACCTAAGAGCCAAAGTGTGCCTGTGGACCTGACTTCTTAATTAATTTTCTAAATTCAACACAATCTCAGTCAAGTATGTTTACTGGCATTTTTGGTTGCAGTTTGGTTTGTCTGTTTTTATCTATCTATCTATCTATCTATCTATCTATCTATCTATCTATCTATCTACCTACCTACCTATCATTTATTTATTTATTTATTTATTTATTTATTTATTTATTATTTATTTGAGACAGGGTCTCCTTGTAGCCCTCTCTGGCCTAGAACTCACTATATAAACCAGGCTGGCTGTGATTTGCCTGTCTCTGCCTCCTAAGTGCTGGGTCAAAGGTGTGCATCATCATGTCCAACATTAGTGGCATTTTAAAAGTTGATTCTAAGAAATATGTATGGCAATGCAAAGGATATATAATACCTCAAACAAGCATTAGCAGAAAAAAAATTGGAACAAGGAATTTCAAGCAATACAATGAGACTAAAGTCATGGCCTAGAGCCACTGAGATAATGTGTATTGATGCATGGATAGATCAATAGCACACTGATGTATGAATAGATCAATGGAACCAAAGTGTGTGTGTGGGGGGGGGGAGACAGAAAGAGAGAGAAAAATTGCTTTTCATCAGAAGTGTTAAGGTAATTTAGTGATAAGAAAAGATAGCTTTGTCAACAAAAGTACTGGATGTTTGTAATGGAAGAAATGAACCATAACACCCTCATATAATATGCAAAAATCAATTCAAAATAGAACAACTTAAACGTACAAGTTCACATTATAATTTCTTTCTTTTTTAAAAAATTTATTTTTCTTTTATGTGTATGCCTGTGTGTATGTAGGTGTACCTGTGTCATGCAGTGCCTGTGGAAACCAGAAGAAGGCAGTGGATCCCCTGGAACTGGAGTTATGGACAGTTGTTAGTCACCAAGTGGATGCTGGGAACCAAACCCAGGTCTTCTGTAAGAGCAGCCAATGCTCTTAACTGCTGAGCCATCTCTCTAGCCCCAACATTATTTTAAAAAATAAAATAAAAAGTGAAATGGGGATGGTAAGTTGGCTCAGCAGGTAAAAGTACTTGCCATGAACCAACTCCACAGAACAGTCCTTTGACCTCCATACTCATGCTATGGCATATACCTGCCCCCCCTACCTCTGCACATAATAATACATTTAAGAACTTAAAAAAAAACATTAAAAGTTTGTGAAAAGATAGGCAAAATATTGGAAGAATATTTGCAAAATATGCATATCAGATACTTTCAATATAGAATATACAAAAAATTATGTTAGGTTGTTTATACAACCTAACTAAAAAAAATGGGCAATAGAAATATTGTCAGATAAAAATAAATTTGTAGAAATAATGTTCTTGAAACTAAAATTGATGGTAAATATCCTTTTATATTTTAAGCATTGCTGATCTTAAGAGAGAATAAAAGTACGTGTCTGTAACTCAATAGTTTATTATAGTAAAATTTATACCTATTAACTCTGAGTGCATGTTTTGAGGCAGAAGATTTGAAGATAAATGCATAAGATGATATGCAACATCCCTAGAGAGGAGGGGATGCCAGTGAGAAGCACTGCACACCTACTGGAGCAGCACGAGAAGCCTGACCACATCAAGAGGCAGCAGAGACGTGAACAACGAACTCTTCACACTGTACAGACCGGAAGTGTAAAACAATACACTGCCTTTGGGCTAGAATTACCTGTTTATCAATTTCATGAAGTTAACAGCAATTTACCATGTGATCTATCAATTCCATTCCTAGGTTTTTACCCCAAAGTAATGAAAATGTACGTGCAGAGACTTGTACACAAATGTTCATGCCAGATTTATTAATAAAAGCTAAATACGTCAAACTAATGTCAATCAACAATCAATGGGAAAATGGATATGCAAATTGTGATACAGCTATACAATGCATTATTAATCAAGAGTGAAAATTAGACAAACCACTAATACATATAACATCTGAGGGCAAAACTCAAAAACACGCCAAACAAAAGAAACAAGACACAACGCAATGTCTAAGTCCATTTATAGGAAATTCTAGGACAGGTAAAATAATCTATAGTTTAGAAGGTAATAAGGAAACAAAGAGTTGACTTTAAAATGGGAAAAACTAGAGGGAAGGCAGAAGGCTCACTTAGGCCCCAAGCTCAACACTGATATACTTACCAATATAGTAAGACCCTGTCTCAAAAACCAAAACAAAGAAAACAAAACAGAACTAAGAAACAAAGGCCAAAGGTATGAACACCAAACTCACCAAAGATGATATGGAAAAACATACAAAGCTGAGCCTCAACATTCCTCTGAGTAATTAATAAAACAGGTAGAGGAGAAAAATTTAGTTAAGGGTATATAAAATTTGAACAAAACTATCCATCAGTTTGACATTTCTAGAATACCTCACTAAAGCACAACACATAGCTCTTTCAAGTATGTTAGAATATGAGCTAAGACAGGCTACATTCTGTGCCATCAAAAGCACCTCAGTATTCAACTGAACTGAAACAACAGATGTTCTATGATTGCAATGAAGTTGAACAATAATGGAGATATAGCTGAAAAATTCCCTAAAATTTGGAAGTTATACACAATTCTAAACAAAACACTGTTAATGAAAAATTTAAAAGGAAAATTAGGGAATATTCGATTAAATTAAAAATACAATATATCAAAGTTTGTGGAGCTCAGCTAAAAGTACTACTTAGAGGGAACCCTTTAACTTTTAAATTTTACCTTGGGAAAAAGGGGCTGGGAAGATGGCTCAGTGGGTAGAGTTTGCTGTTTGGATTCCCCAGCACTCACATAAAGGCCAGGCATGGGGACACACATCTGTGACCCTAGCACTAGAAGGTTAGGGAGATAGAGACAGATGGACTCTAGGGGCTCATTGGCCGGTCAGTCTACCTAAAACAGCAAGCTCCAGGTTCAGTGAGAAACCCTGTCTCAAAAAATAAGGTGGAGGGCCTGTGCGATGGCCCAGTGGGTAAAGGCATTTGTTGCCAAGTCTAATGATCTGAGGTCAATCCCTAGGATCCACATAAAGGATGAGAGAACTGATTCCTACAGGATCATCTCCACATGTGCAACCCCCCCATACATAAATAAATGTAATTTTTAATAAAAGGTGGCCAGCAACAGAGGAAAATACCCAATGTTGACCTGTGGCCTCCACATACATACGTATAGGCAACCTCACCCACATACACGTACCACACAGACACAAATGCGCACACACACACACACACACACACACACACACACACACACACAAGGTTCATGGATTCATATCAGTGATC